ATACATACACACACAGACACACACATATATAGACAAGTCTAAGCAACATGTCATACATTTTTATCCCACATTTCGTGGCCGGCACAGTAACAGTCCTGCTACACTGTCACTGATCACCTTGGATATCTCGCTATACATACTAACCAGAAGAATGTAAAGAGCTGCGGCCCCCAGTTCTGTTGCTGCTCCAATGATGGCCATGGCAAACGACCAGGATAAATGATTGAAGTGAGGATACTGCATCCAATTTCTGTCGTCACCTCGGACAGCGAATATGATGACGCCTATGACCATACACAGACCTGGATAAAAAAGCAGTAGACAGTTAAAATCATACTGGTATCTTCAATTACAATTCAGTTGGAACGAGCTGCAGCTGTTTTTATTCTCTTGAATTATAGATTTCATTTCGCAGTTACTTTAGCTTTGTGTAAATTGGTCGTGGTTATTTAGGAAGTTTCTCAAATAAGGTTGTGTGAAGGGAAGCAAACGAGTTTGGTCTGCAGACGTTTATAATTACTTTATCATGAGTTCGCTTCTGGATCAGCTACCGCAAAACGCGAGTGGCACTACCGATTTATAGTGAGTTTTTCCAGTCAGTAAAAAACGTTCGGACCAGCATAAACCGTTTTGCTGGTCATCAAAGTTTAATAAGCAAAAAATATTTTTTTTAAACCTAAATGGTAATTAATGGCATATTTTCTTCATAAGTTCTTACAGTCAATGAAGAGCACTCGAACCTGCATAACCCGCTTTGCTGGTCATCAAAGTTTAATGAGCAAAAAATGTTATGAAAAAAAAAACTAAATGGTGATTAAAGGAACGTGTTAGACTGACAGCAAAAACACTAATTGATATTCAAGTTCAACGTCTAGTATCATAACAAACTGGACATGAAATACAAAGAGAGGATACCCCTGCAGGGATCGCTGATGTCTTATTAACTATACTCATGTATAGTGTATTTTGTTATAAAATTAATTTGCTAAGGGTTTAAATAAATTGGTATTAAATTACCGACCAGTTCAATCGGTATTTTCGGATCAAATGTAATAGACGTAGACATGTAAAATATTCTTTGATGTAGGAATGTGGCAATGCATATTGAAACAGAGTGATAAAGTAGAAATCTTTTCACATGTCTAACGTTTTCGTGCAGCAACAACGACGTGTATGCTTACTAAATCTATTTATTGTAGCATTCGTTGCTTTGGGTAAAAGCTATGTAGTAACTAGAGCTATCTGTAAACTAGCTCTACCGATGTAACCCTTTCGCTCCTGCTACAGGGACTTGTACACCGGTAGATGATACTAGATCTACCGTGTAAACGTACATGATATTGCCAGAGTGACTCCTTGTAAGAAGTAGAACCTGTCGAGTCTGCGGGCATCGCAGCATTGCAGTATCGTTGCTACCGTCATTCCTGTGGCCAGTAGCACGGTGAGAAAGGAGAAAGTGCAGAAGACTTGCACTGCCTTGAACCAAGCTGAAAGCAACAAGAAAACGTTGTTGTTATTCGCTGGATTTGATTCTAAAAGCGTCGATACGTTCACCCACTATCTACTGATCATGTTTTACCAAACACCGTTTTTCACCGAATGGCTAAGTCTACTTACCAAAATCTAATTGTGTCTTAGGACTTGAAAAAAGAGTTAATTCACCACAGCGTGTAACTACGTGTATCCTAGCTCGCATAGCCTCGTGACCGCACCCTGTGCACATAAGGTCATACCTTTCTAACCTCGTGCCTGCAGAAGCTACTGTCCTGATGTTGTACCGGTAAACCTGTATGATTGATTACATTACACGGCTATATCTCGTGTTGCCGTGTGATATAACCATAGCATCTACTAAACATCTACCCGCGTGTATTACGTCGTGTATTATGGGTGTTATGCATGATACGTCTAACGCCTGTCACATCTCGCTACCTCGCGTGGGAGCCATCTTGAGCCGCCTTCATCACACGCACACTGGTTCGGTCTTGTTATTTTAGCCGTTTTCTCACGCACGTAGCAAATAGCGAGGGTTAGAACGCGTGTAAATAACGTCGGGGTATAATTATACTCACACGGCTCGAGGTATTCTCGTATGATGTACATGTCGCGGTGGAAGATCCATCTGCAGCCGGTGAACACCTTGTCGTACTGGTACTGCGGGTGACGGTAACCGTTGAAGCAAACCTCCCAGAGTCCGATCTTTATGAATTCGTTCGCCGTGCGTTTGTCCTTCTCCACCCAGTTGGGGCTGCAGTAGGCGATCAGGATGAAGAAGCAGGAAGCAAAGACTAGTCCTGTAGCGATGAGCACGAACATGTTCATGGAATTATCCTGTCGTCCCGCCATATCCGTCGGTTTTTCTCCCCCTTAGCTGTATCTCAGAACTTCAGAACGGTCGCGGGTGTTGTCAGGTATAATACGCTCGCCCTTTCGATGCGGAGTTATTCAAAATGGGGGCCGCGTTGCTCGTGGTCGTGGATGCGGCGGAGCATGGAGGCGCGTACCATGTTTGCACCTGGAGGGGTGGGCAGGTTGTTTGTTGTTGTGGCAACCTGTATCGGAGACGAGCGCGCGTCCGCGTTCTAAAACCGGATTTGTGGGAGTAGTTCATCTCGGTACCAGACCGAGTGACAATGCCTCTGCGTTGACCTTTACGTTGATATACGTAAGAGTGAATAAAAACACATTTTTGTCATAAACAATTGTTGTTATACACTTATAATAGGATGATCTCGTGTCCACATTTTTGTAGACGAGGGGGGAACAATTATTTTACTTTTTAGTTTTATTTTATTTTATTATAGTAGTACTGTATATCATATTATTAATTATTAATATATCCCATTTGGTATTTGCACTGTCTATTGTTTATACTGATAGTTTACACGTATTTATGCATATTATATAAATACACGCAATTGTAAAATCATTCTATTTATTTCAATAAAAAGTATGTACACAGCCATGATGACTAAAATTACATCATAGTCAAGTAGGCTCGATTAGAAAATACAGCAATAATCGCGAGATCCAATTGTTGGACGTTTATCTGATAAAAAGAGGTACAGAACTATGATATACAAACTGGTAGAGACAGATCCATACATATATCGATTTGTGAGCTAGCTACAATTCATTTGCTGTTCAATGAGCATTCAAGTATGGATTCATAGATTCTACTAATGCCTCCTGGCTGATAACTGTTAACCAATTGCTATTGTCATTAGCCTATTGACGTTAGCCAATTGCTATAGTCATTAGTTGATTATCTGTCTTAATTCCCGTCGAATTAATTAGCTTCCCTTGATTTTAGTCATAGTACGAACTACGAAGATTTGGGTGTTGCGGACACATATACCTTCCCCTCGCTACAAAGAACACGTTTGCACTTCATCTGCACTGCTTGCAGTGCCAACGGAATGTACTATAGTCGTTCTCAGCAATATAACGACCAGAATAAATGACTGGTACTACTACCCGACGGACAATACTTTTCTTTTCTCACATTTGAAAGTGAGATGAGACTTTGATAACATTTATGTGACAGCCCCGTTTCATATATGAGATTATAGTTTCGTCAGAATTGTGAAGTTGAATTTCCCCGATCAAAATATTTTTTGCAAAGGCACAAGGATGTTATAGTATGAGAAATTACGTGTTACAGCGCTTCCTAGGATGTAGTACATGCAATATGGTGATAATTATCTGACATAGATCATAGTGTTATATTAGCAACGAATCCTAGTGCTTTATTGCAAGTGTTGGGCGGTCCATGATTTTACGTAAACTTCGTAACGATAGCAAGTTGTTTAGGCTGCACCTCCTCGGGCTTCCCCCAAAAGATTTCTCTTTCACTATTCAGCATTTCATGGGAAAGTTTTTGTAGAATATAACATATATTATTGGAGAAGGTTTGCTTTTTATTTGCAACATATATGTCACAGCTGTAACAGTAATAAACATCTGCTAGTTAAATAACTAACCAACCAATAAGAAATGTTTTAAGAGTAATTAACCTATCTGTGCAGTGTGCTGCATTCATGGTAATGATCAAGTTCAAACAAACTGAAAAGCATTCATAGTATATGTACACATATTGCATACTCTATTTAGAAATCCTCATTCAAGGAAATGCACGAATGACAAAATGCAAATAAAATATAATAATGCACAATATATAGGCATTTAAAAATTGCAACAGTTACCGTACACCTCTCAAGCCACAACACAAGTTCTAAAATGTGAGTATGTGTCTCTCTGTACATTACGAGTATTATAGAACCATCTACGTGTACAACACGATTACGTTCACATGTTACACGTATAAAAAGATCTTTCTTTCTTGTATAAAATTATTCAATAAATGCGTGTAAAAATGTGGGTCGATATGTCGGAGCTAAGCACGGGCATCCTGGTGAGTACTGACCAAGTAGCCATCGTGTATGCTCATCTCCCTATGTTTTTTCCCCCACTTGTTCAACAGTGTATGTACAAATGCATTCACATGAGTATGTGTACGATTAATGAATTAATTGGCTTCGGTCGGGAAACCTCGGCCATGGCTGGAATGTGATGTGTTTTGCTCCGAGACTTTTACAGTTTCAAAATCAGTTGTGATCCTGATGCGACTGAATGTTTTCTGCTAGAGGCACGTACCTGTGTGGGCTATACTTCACTTTATATTGCTTACTATTCCCCCCAGTTTTAGGCTAGTTTCCTCACTAACAGCTACGCACATGCATGCACTGTTAGGCGTCGTGTGTATAAACACAGCAATAAGTCTCTGTGCTGTCTACTTTTATGCGGACTTGAAACTGGTAGTCTAATATCGGGGTACGTGTGGCATACTCTAAAAAAGACGATGACCCTATGCAACACCTATTCTATGTGCAGCATATAGGTCATCGTGACGTATCACATTTACACGTGCCGCCCCCTGCTACGCCATTGTTGATCTGGACACGAACACAGCCCCCACGAACAGTGACACTAGCAGCAGCATCCTCTACTACAGCCCTCCTGAAGCCCCCTGTTGAATCGTGACGACGTGCAGTGACCGTCTATACCGTGTCCTCCTTCGAAGCAGACTTTGTGATTGTGTGGGGGTAGCCGGGTCCTGGTGGCTGGGTTCGAGTTGGCTGGGGTTGCAACTGCGGCTGCTTTGTGGGGTACTGGCCGCGGGCAGGCGGAGCCTGGTGCACGCCATTCGGGGGTCTCTGCATCCTCTCACTTCTCATATTGTGTTCTCTGTTGTTTCTCATTGCCTGCCGAGAAATAACGAGTAGAAACAATCAACAGGGTATCAGGGCCGTAGCTACCATTAGGCAATAGGAGGCAAATGCCTCCTACAAAATTTCTTCAAATAAAAATTAAGCAGGCCCCATACCCCACGCGCCTCGCCCCCTCGTTTCGCTCCTTTTTCTTTAACTCACAACATTTGCCTCCTACAAAATTTACCTCTGGCTACGGCCCTGCAGGGAATATGAGAAGGACAATAAGAAGAAGCAGAAGCAGAAGTCTATTGCACTGCATTTGTTGCATGCGTGCATTGTAACCAGCTTGCTAACTTACATTATATTGTAGCAACCTATGCAGCTTCTGTGTCAAGTGCAAATGTTTACTGAGCCACGCAAGACGGTGGTTTAATTTGATTCCTTAGATGACGACTGCTGTTGAAAGTCGGACATTTATCAGGTCGTACAACTAGGCGCTTTATTCCATGGAAGTTACGGCTGGATATATGACACCTAACTCCGTGTCACGCACATGTACTCTTCTCACGTGTTTTTCTTTGCATTTTTGCTTACGTTAGGTTTGTTAATTGCAAACGAGATGGTTTTGAAAGATGGTCTTGAAAGATGGTTTGGTTGGTTGGAGATGGTTTTGAAAGATGGTTTTGAGATGGTTTTCACACTGTGCGCGTTAATCCGATCCCTCTCAGAGCTCAGTGTGTGGGGGGTGGATGCAAGCACTAATCATGCTCACCGGAATATACTCACCAGAGTTAATTATACTATGAATAATTAATTAATTAATTTAATTACTAAGAATTATTATTTTATTTAATTACTAATAATTGTTACTTCATTTAATTATTAATAACTAATTATCATATAATTAGTAAAATAGTCAAGTTGTTTATGCTATAACTGTCAGTGTGCATCGATGTTTTGAAATCTAATATGTTAAAATTTTTAAGAATTATTATTTTATTTAATTACTAATAATTGTTACTTCATTTAATTATTAATAACTAATTATCATATAATTAGTACCAGAGTTAATTATACACACCAGAGTTCCAAAGAAGAGAGCGGCGGCAAACTCTGCCATGGTTCCCGTGACGGCGAAGGCAAACGACCATGAGTAGTGGTTGAAGTGCGGGCTCGGCATCCAGTCTCTGTCGTCGCCGCGCACGGCGAAGATGATGACAGCGATTCCATTGCAAAAACCTGAGTCAAGCGGTTGATCAAGATTAGCGTACGCTGTGCACGTTAACGTGAACAGTTTATCTGTTCTTGTCTATCTGTTCTCGTTGTAAATTCGCATTCATGAGAGTTTTTAGCATGCCACGTTATTCTACCAGAGAGAGGGTGCAGGGCACGTAAGTGAGCGAGAGAGGAGAGAGTGCAGGAGGGAGAGCAGGAAGGGGAAGAGACCGAGACAGAGAGAGAGAGAGAGAAAGAGAGATATGTAGGTTGGAATTGAGGGGGTTGAGTACAGTAAGAGGGAAAAGTGAGAGAGGTAGAGATTGAATGTATGAATTAGAGTGGTATGGAGTAAGAGACTCATCATCAAGAGTGATTGGGGGTCAAATACAGCGGTTGGGGGCGACCGTGAGGGGCAGGGGAGTAGAGCAAATAACCAGATGCCAAATTCAGATTCAGCAATTGAATGTGAATGCAACGTGAATGACACTATCAGGGTGGCAGCCTGGGCTAGATGCAGCAGCAGTAAGCTAGCTTATGTGATGGTACTTACATGACACTATCAGGGATGTGCAGCCTGGGCCAGTATGCCAGCAGCCAGTAGCTAACCTATGGTGTTACTTACATGACCTAGGCCAGGGATACAGCCTGGGCTAGATGCAGCAGCAGTAGCTAGCTATGTGGTGAGTACTTACATGAGACACTATCAGCGTGGCAGCCTGCGGCTAGATGCCGCAGCAAAAAAGTAGCTAGCCGTATGGCGTGGTACTTACATGACACTCATCAGCGTAGGCAGCCTGGAGCTAGCATGCAGCCAGCCAGTAGCTTAGCCTATGTGGTCGTGATACTGTACATGACACTATCAGGGTGCGGTAGCCTAGGCTAGATGCAGCAGCACGTAGCTAGCTATGTGGCTGTACTTAATCGACACTATCAGGGTAGCAGCCTGGCATAGAGCGAGCCAGCAGTAGCTAGCTATGTGGTGGTACTTACATGACACTTCAGGGTCGGTAGCCTGGGCTAGATGCAGCAGCAGTAGGTAGCTATGTGGTGGACTTACATGACACTATCAGCGGGTTAGCAGCCTGGGCTAGAGTGCAGCAGCAGCTAGCAAGCTATGTTGGTCCGCCGTACTTACATGACAGACTATCAGGTGGCTTAAGCCTGCGCCTAGTGCAGCCAGCACCGTAGCGTAGCTATGTGGTGGATACTAACATGACACTATCAGGGTAGCAAGCCTGCGGCTAGATGCAGCAGCAGTTAGTAGCTATGTGGTGGTACATTACATGACACTATCAGCGGTAGCAGCCTGCACTAGATGCAGCACGAGCTAGCCTAATTGGTGGTACTTACATGACAGTATTTTTTTTCCGGGTGCAGCCTGCATAGATGGCAGCCAGCAGTAGTAGCCTATGTGGTGTACTTACATGACACTATCAGGGTAGCACGCCTGGGCTAGATGGCAGCAGCAGCGATAACTAGCTAGTGTGGTGGTTACTTACAGACACTATCAGGGGTAGCAGCTGGGCTAGATGCGCAGCCAGTAGCCAGCTAGAGGTGGGTACTTACATGACACTATCAGGTGTGGTAGCCTCGCGGCTAGATGCCCAGCAGCAGTAGCTCAGCTATGTAGGTGGTACTTACATGCGACTATCAGCTGGTAGGCAGCCTGGACCTGAGATGCAGCAGCAGTAGCTAGCTATGTGGTGGACTTAACATGACACTATCAGGGTGGTAGCCGGGCTAGATGCAGCGCAGTAGCTAGTATGTGGTATACTTACATGACACTATCAGGGTAGCAGCCATGGCCTAGATGCAGCAGCGCAGTAGCTAGCTAATGTGGTAGGTCTTACTGACACTATCAGTCCGTGAGCAGGCCTGCCACTAGATGCAGCAGCCAGTAACTAGCTATTAGGTCGGTACTTACATGACCACTATCAGGGTGGCAGCCGCCACTAGATGCAGCAGCAGTAGTTGGCGCCCGCCGCCACATCTGCAGATGAAAGGACGCATAGACACGCTGCTGCCTGTGACGGTGGAGTGCAAGCAACTAGCAGAACGTCTGAACGGTACAAACCACGCTGAAACATTAGATTGTACGTATATACATAGGCTGAACATAGAATTTGTACGGTATATATCATACGCCTGAAACATAGATTGTACCGTCATATACATAGGGCTGAAAATTACTTGACATATATTACATACGCTGACAACATACCGAATGAAAGAAAAGCTGAACGAAGATATGAGATTTGAACAAAAATTCATCGTATGAACACTTTTATAGCGATAGATATTTTACTGGACATTATTATTGCTGTGTAATGTCTGGTTTTGGCCGTTTGTTGTGCGGCCTCTCACTACGGCGTTATATGAAACATACATCTGTTACATAATACATACGCTGAAACATACATTGTACATATTCATACATACGCCCCTGAAACATGACATTGACAGAATATACATAACAGTTTAGCGCCTGAAACATACATTGTACATATATACATACGCTGAAACATATTATATAATTTGTTTATGTGTGTGTGTGTGCGTGCGTGCGTGCGTGCGTGCGTGCGTGCGTGCGTGCGTGCGTGTGTGTGTGTGTGCATGTGCGTGTGTATGTACTGGTTGAGCCATGCTGGTTTGAGGCTAGCTCTACCCGTGTAGCCCCTTAGACATATATAGAGCTAGTTTAGGGCGTGCTGAAACATATATGTGTAGGTGTGGGTTGAGCCATGCTGGTTTGAGGCTAGCTCTACCGGTGTAGCTGCTTTGCTCCTGCTACAGGACTGGGGGTGAAGGGGCTACACGGGTAGAGCTAGTTTGAGGCATGCAGAAACACATGTAAAGTTAAGTTAAATAACACTACTATGACATACAAAGTCTAATGTACCATGGTCCGTTTTAGCATGCAAGGTCCTTTGTAACATGTGTGTAGGCTATGATCAGAATAATGAAGTTATTCAATTTGAAACGTAACGGTGTTGGAAACTGATGAAAAATTATTAGTACGTTCATATACGTGAATATCGCCCAGTTAGTAAATGACCGTGTAGATAGATTTTTTGTGATTGATCATGAATCTATTACAATTCATAATAATTTAAAAAGTTTCCCTTGTCTCGTTCTATCCCTCTCACTCTATAATTTCCCCTCTCTCTGTGTATTGTGTATTAATTAGCAATATAAAATAAAAGGAAAACAAACATTCGATCGGCACGTTTTATCACATAGGGGTAGACGTAGACACTGCAGCATCGGCAACGGTGAGTTTACAACGTGAAATCGTGCAACTGAATTAAAAATTGCACGGAATTGTGGCATCCATTTTTGTTCTGGCCTTTCCTCTTCCTCACTGCGTTCCGTAAAAATAGATCTACGAACGTAGCGAAGTTAAAACTGACGCTTTGGGTATTATTAACTCATCAAAAAATATACTAACACGTAGATATACATATGTAGTTCCCGAGCCGTTAACAGATGCAGACGTGACCAATCTGTATAGCCGCTCCCTGTTACGCGTTGCCCTGATTACTCACTACCCACCTAGCGTGTGTGTGTGTGTGACCCGATGCCGTGTGTGTATGTCACTCACCTGGCTCTATGTACTCCCGTATGATCTTCATGTCGCGATGGAAGATCCATCTGCAGCCGGTGAACACTCGATCGTACTGGTACTTCGGGTGACGGTAACCGTTGAAGCACACCTCCCAGAGTCCGATCTTCGTAAACTCGTTTGGTATGCGCTTGTCCTTCTCCAGCCAGTTCGGGCTGCAGAAGGCAATGACGATGAGCACGCAGGCTATGAACACCATCGCAATGCCAAACAGCAGCAGCATCGGCAGTGGTCGCTCGTTTCGCGGAGCCATGTTGTGTCGATGGTGGATGACAAGGTAGTGCACGTAGGCTGTGCGGGAGAGAGAGAGATGCAGAGAGGTTAACTCGAGCTTCTCTGAGGTCGGGGAGATGTGGATGGTAGTGACTAACTGTAGGTGAGATTTGAATGGAGAGTGGGTGGGTAGCCGGGAAGGCACAAAGCGTTTTCACGTACAGGATCACTCGCGTAGCTGGTTGTGTCGTGTGCTAGCATCGCATACTGCCTGTGCAGCGGAGCCTGACAGACGAGTCCATTATTCTCACCTGCAGGGGTGTTTATTATGAGCGGATGTGCGGGCGGTACTGATGCAGCAGCAGTTTAGGATGAGGATGATATTTTGTTTGTCTCAAGAGGAGGATGTAAGGAAAAACACGTGCCGGTTTCTATATTCTTGATATCCAGTATGGTCTATATCGGGCAGGGCCGTAGTGGCGGCCACGGCAGCACGGCACTGCCGTGGCACTATTTTGAAAAAAAAATTCGGCAGGGAACCAAGGAGCAACATATACCAAGGAGATGAAACCCGGAGGGGGGGGGGCACTCACCCCACATTATGGTAGGTATGTGCCACTGCAAAGTCAAAAATGGGGGGGGGGGGGCTCTGGAACTAACTCAGACCTAAAAATGGGGGTCTCTGGAACTAATGTTTGTTGAATGTGGTATGCTCTGGAATTGGCTATGTTCGAAAATGGGGGTCTCCGGAACTAGGATTTCGTTGAAATTCAATGCTATGACACTGGACACGTTTAAAAGACAGTCCGGAACTGTGGGGGAACAGTGATTTGCTTTAAAATCTATGCTGTAGTGTAACGCGTACACATACGTTACGCGTTTCTACATCAACGATCATTCCAACGTTACAGTAGCACTTGAACAAATAATTGTTGTATTATGTAGAGGAGAAAAAACATGACCCGGAGCGGCGCGGATCTGACCACTATTCACACATTATCGGGTAGGTATATCCGGGTATACCTGGGGCAAACCATCCGGGGGCGTGCTTCCGGCCGTACCTGGGTCAATTTCCGGAATCACGGAGTCTAGTTGGAGTACCTGGCAGTCTCTTGAATTGCGAGGAGTTTCGCGTTATTGGCTACGATCACCAATTCGAAGCAGTTACATACTCCCTTTTTTCTTCGCTTGATCGTGAGAGGTCAGGGTGAAATGGTGAATCCATTTTTCCCCTCCGACTGTCCTAACCAGTACAGAACTCACGGCACCAATGTAGAACTTCGCTGTGTGTCGTCTCTCGTTCGCGTAGTCTCGCTTGGAGTGTCTTTCGACGATATCCTTCTGAATTTGACATATGGCGGCCGTCATTTCCCGTCGATCGTTGCCAGTGACACAGATGGAATCGCACGCTTCATTTCCCTATTGTTTCAGAGCATGGACGGAGATATTCCGGTAGATGAAGTGGGGTTGTGGCCTCGATTACCGCGCGAAGAAATGTAGAGCTCAGATAGTATCCAGGCTATTGCCCCCAACTCTAATGGCCTTCATGGTGCGGTTCTCACTTAAAGCTTCGGCTTCACCATTAGCCTTCTGGATGTAGTGGCAGTTACCTTCCTGTTGGTGGAATCCTGAGATTCCGGCGCTATTCTCGGAAGTCGCTGCGATTGAACGGAGGTCCATTATCCCGTGGCGAATTTCACTGTAGGAAACACCGACATGGGCTGCAAATATCCTGTCCAAATCGAGGAAATACAGCAGAGCAGATTGTACATATGTAGTACGTCGACTTCGGGGATATCTCGAGTGCGATCGTCGATCACACCATGAGATCACCGCGTTAGTAACGGCACAAAATCCATTACTGAGTCGCTCCCACTTGTTGAGTGGACGTTGTGTCATCAGTTAGGAGCGTTCGCGATGTTTGCTTGGCCTGTTTATTAAGCTGGCCATAGCAAACAGTTCTCAACTCAGCGTGCTCCGACCAGGATTGTCCATTCCTGAGAACCAGGTCTTCATACGAGAAGTTGCTTAGTTTTTGGCCATTCTTATGACCGAAATTTTGCGAGTTTTACACATTTCATGTTTTAGCGATTCTGGACCAAACGATCTTTGTGCCACGTAGCAGTATTCCATCTTCGAACACGATAAGTTCAGTACATGAGTGATAGTGCGCTTGGCAACTTTATCGTCCTTCAACAATTGCTCGAACCACCCGACCTTCCTGAGAGCTCTGTCACACCACTCACATGAGCGATCAGCTGCCGTGCGACTCCACAAATTTCCGTGTCGCCGATATTAGCTCGAGGAAGTGAAATCTATCCAGACATCAAAGTTCACATGGAGCTCAGAATTCGAGTCGATGTCCACGGTTCTGATTGATGCTTTGGTGCAGCGCGGGAGTCTGTGTCGGACATGTAATCCGCCGGATTGTTAACTCCTGAGAATAGGTCACAGTGATGTTGTAATTCCTGTAAAGCTTCCATGAGCCA